CTAAACTCCGCCTAAGTACTCTATCAGCTGCATCCAACGCGGCAGCCATTGGCCACCTTTGGCTTGCTAAATTTAAATGAATTAAAATAAAGTAAAATCCTGAGAGAACAATTTATTGCAATGAATGTGCACATCCAAAAAGAAGAAAGAAGCAAAATTAACACATTAACACAGCATCTACAACAATTAGACCAACAGAGAGAAGCTACCGACACCAAAAGAAAAGAAATAATAAAATAAAATAAAAGCTTCAACTCCTCAGTCATACTAGCCACAGTCCAAGTACTCAGGAGCTGCATGTGGCCAGTGGCTACTGCACTGGGCATCACAGATAACACTTTGATCATCTCATAAAGTTCTATAGGAATGATCCCATCTTCTCTGCTCCTGGGGAACCTCTACACGTAAGCCTCACCCTCCTGCTCTGACTGAATTCAAATCCCATCTACACAATTTACAAATGCCTTAGCTAAGTTGCCTAACCCTCTGTGCCTTAATTTCCCCATCTGTAAAATGGGCATAATAATATCAATCCCACATAGAATTGCTTGCACCAGTAAATAACATCATGATAAATAGAAAAGGGATTGAAGTTATTAAAGAGTTCATTTTGCTTGGATAAAATGTCAACACTCATGGAAGCAGCAGTCAAGAAATCAAATGATGTATATTACATTTGGCAAATCTGCTACACAGACTTCTTTAAAGTATTCAAGAGTAAAGAGGACTAGGGTGCACCTGACCCAAGCCATGGTATTTCAGTAGCTTCCTCTGCATGTGAAAGTTGGACAGCAAATAAAGAAGACCATAGAAGAATTGATGCCTTTGAGTTATGGTGTTGGAGGAGAATATTGAAAGTGCCATGGGCTGCCAAAAGAACCAACAGATCAGTGTTGGAAAAAATGCAGCCAGAGTACTCCTTGGAGGCCAGGATGGCCAAACTTCGTCTCTCATACTTCAGACATATTGTCAGGAGGGACCAGTCCTTGGAGAAGGGAATCATGTTTGTGAAGTGGAGGGTCAGAGAAGAAGAGGAAGACCCCCCATGAGACGGTTTGGCACAGTGGCAGCAGCAATGGGTTCAAACCTGGCAATGGTTGTGAGGTGGTACAGGGTCAGGCAGTGTTTCGTCCTGTTGTGCACAAGGTCGCGACGAGTCGGTACCAACTCGATGGCACTGCCCTGTTTCTCTTGCCTTCTCTTCACAGTTGACTCCCTGAACTCGCTGATGACTTTTCTGCCTTTCGTTCTCTCTGTCCTCCAGCTCAGTATTCTGGCTTCCACACTCCTAGCTCCCCTGGGTCAGCTCTCATTCAGGGCACCTGTGGTCTCTGGGTTGTTACTATATCCCATGGATGTCGTTATCATATGTGAACTGCTTTAGAGACAGCAGCGAAGGAGACTGTGCCTCTTCCTCTGGCTTCTGGAACACACCTCTCTCCTCTTCTCTCTATGGCTGAGGCCAAGACCTTGTCCAACTTCCTTTCCCTCTTCTTATCTCTCAAATGTTGTTGTTCTCTAATGATCTAGCCCAGGTACTCTGATCTTTCTGCACTTCAGACTGGGCTAGCTACGTAAGTTGTAAAATTTATGCAGAATGAAAATGGAGAGGAACCCTTGCTTAAATGGACTGAGAATTCAAGATGGCGGCAGCAGAGCATCAAATCAAACAGGGAGCCTTTCAGACACAGAAGTCTCGTGCAAATGCTTGATAGATATAAATCTAGCTCGATAGACAGAAATGATAGATGGGTAGATAGATCAGTGGGTATGTAGGTAGATAGATAGATGATAGATGGATAGATAGATAACCTGTTGCAGTCAATTCCTACTCATAGCAACCCTATGTTGTTGTTGGTAAGTATCTTAAAGGACAGAGTACAACTACTCCATAGGGTTCCCAAGGCTGTAATATTTATGGAAGCAGACTGTCATATCCATCTCCCATAAAGTAGCTAGTAGGTTCAAACTACTGACTTTTGGGTTAGCAGCTGAATGTTTATCTATTATCTAACCCTTGATAGATGATAGACAGACAGGAAAACAGATATAGATAATAGGTGAATGATAGATAGATAGATGGATGGATAGATAGATAGATAGATAGATAGATAGATAGATAGATAGATAGATAGACAGATAGATTTTGTTATTGTTAAGTGCCGGTGAGTTGGTTCCAACCCATAGTGACCCTGTATAGGGTTTCTGAGGAAAAGCTGGTGGGCTTGACCCGCCGACCTTACACACAATATAGATAGATAGATGCTGTTTTTAAGTGACATTGAGTCAGTTTTGACACATAGCAACCCTGAATAGGGTTTCCAAGGAGTGACTGGTGGATTTGAACTGCCAACCTCATGGTTACCAGTCAATTGCTTATCCTACAGCCCCACACCAGGACTTAACATAGATAGATGTTGTTGTTAAGCGTTGTAAGTCTATTCCGACTCATAGCAACCCTATATAGGGGTTCCAAGGAGCAGCTGGTGGGTTTGAACTGACAGTCTTGGGGTTTGCCATCCAGTACTGATCCTACAGGGCATACATGGTGGTGGTGGTTATGTGCCATGGCGTCGGAACCGACTTATAGCGACCCTGTACAGGTTTCCGAGGCTGTAAATCTTTACGGGAGCAGAAAGCCTCATCTTTCTCCCACTGAGCAGCTGGTAGTTTCAAACTGCTGACCTTAAGGTTCGCAGCCCGATTTGTAACCACTACGCTACCAGAGCCCCTGGTATCAAATTGACTCCAACTCATGGTACTCTTATGTATGACAGAATGAATTGTTGTCAGATTCCACGTCATCCTCACAACCAGTGGCCTATTGTTAGCTGCTGGAGAATCCATCCCAACTCCTAGCGACCCCCTGTGTGCAGAGTAGAAGGGTGTTCCATGTGATTTTTCAGAGGTAAATTGTCAGACCTGTCTTCCTAGGCACCCCTGAGTGGGCTGGAACCACCAACCTTTCAGCCAGGAGTCAAACACTTCACTGTTTGTATGACCCAGAGATTCCTCCAAAAACATTACCAAGTGAAAGAAGCCAGTCACCAAAAGACCTAATTTTATATCATTCCATTGAAATGAAATGTGCAGAATAAGTTGAGGGGGATGGGGAGAAAGGGGGATGACTGCTTTATGGGTTCGGGGTCTCCTCTAGAGGTGATAAAAAATGTTCTGGAACTCAACAAAGATGATGGATGCTCAACACGGTGGGTGCACTAAACGCCGCTGAATTGTTCACTTCGATCTTATGGTATGTGAACGTCACCTCGATAAAAAATCATTATAATTTGGAAACTATTAATAAGGAGCCCTCGTGACACAATGGTTAAGTACTCAGCAGCTAATCGAAAGGTTGGAGGTTCGAACCCACCAGCTGCTTCTTGGGAGAAAGATGTGACAGGCAGCTTCCTTAAAGGTTGTTGTTAAGTGCCGTCAAGTCGGTTCTGACCCATAGCAACCCTGTACACGGTTTCCATGGCTGTAAATCTTTACGGGAGCAGAAAACTTCATCTTTCTCCCACGGAGCAGCTGGTAGTTTCGAACTGCTGACCTTGCGGTTCGCAGCCCGATTTGTAACCACTATGCTATCAGAGCTCCTTTCCATAAAGGTTACAGTCTTAGAAACTTTAAGGACGAGGCAGTTCGACTCGGTCCTATGAGTTGGACTGGACTTGATGGCAACAGATACTGAGTTTTGGTGATCTTCTTCCTCTTAGGTTTTGTTGTGGGTTCAAGTTTTGGCCCTGCCAATATCCACATGGACCACAGAGTGGACTTTCTAGCTTCTAGGTCTGACTTGTGCCACCGATACCCAACACCCCCTGCCTTGGGTCCCCAAGGACAAAGTCTAAGCTCTATATGGTGTTCAAGATTCTTGAGCTGTGCCTTCACTGAAGCTCTCCAAACGCGACCTTAGTCCCACATCCCAGTGCCCTCTGCTTCACCTCAGAGACAGACTTCCGTGTGTTCATGTGTACTTCCTCTGTACTGTAAACTCACACCCTTCCAGATCCAGAACAAGTGCCACTTCCGGCTTAGCTCTGAAATTGGCTCTCTGGTCTCCATGCCCACAGCTCCAGTTTAAAGTGGAATCACTGAGGCAGCCTCCTCGGTCTCCTCCAACCCACCAGCCTCCTCTCTGGACTCCTGCCTCTCTGCACCTCATCACACCAGCCTCCTCCCTGACCTTCCCTCTCCCGTATTCCACTAGCTTCCCCCCTGGACTTCCATCTTCCTCAACTCCATCAAGCCAGCTTCCTCTCTGAGCCTCCCTCTCCCCATCACAGCAGCCTCCTCTCTGAGCCTCCCTCTCCGCATCACAGCAGCCTCCTTCCTGGGTCTCTGCCTCTTTTTTCCCTACTTCAGTTCAAGTCCTGAATTGGCCTGGGGGAAAACCTTCCTACCACGCTAACCCTACCGCCCACATCTTAACTCATCTCTGCTAAAGGCAGGCGCCCAGAGTGATATAAGGTGCTAATTGGCTTCAGGGGACCCCCCCCCCCAAAAAAAAGGGGGCAGGGATCTCCCTCTCAAGCCACCTCAGTCCTCTCCGTGGCCTCCTGTTCAGCCTTCCCCTGGCCTTTTCAGTTTCGTTCCCCATCTCCTCCCACCCACCACCACCACCACCACCACCACCACCAGCTGCAATCTGGAAGAAATTACTCTTCGAAACAGCCAGACTAGTCCAGTTTCAGGAAATTCCAGACTGGGCAGGAGGAGGGGCTGAGCTGGGGGGTGGGGGCCGCGTCCTGTCAGTCCCCCACCCCCGCTGCGTGTCCTCCCTGCACACCAGTCCAACCACATCCCGCCTCCACATTCAGCCCAGAGGGGGCCCTGCTAGTCCACCGTGTTATCTATTATCGATCGTCTCCTTTAATGCCTCCAGGCAAACTTTGGGGGTTTCTGCAAGGCTGGGAGGGGCCTGAGCCTTAACCCTCCCTGCCCCGGGCTGAACTAAACTGAACTGGGCTGTGATTCCTCTTGGCTTGAGCTCCTACCATGGCCCCCAAGAGGGGCTGACACTTCATCTCCTGGTGCAGGTAGAGGGGGATCTCCAGACTCCAGGGACTGAGGGAGGAGGGGGCTGGGGGTCCGGACTCCGGGGTCTCAGGGAGGAGGGGGCTGGGAGCCAGGACTCCTGCGGGAGGGAGCTGGGGCCTGGATCCCTAGGGCGTAGGCTCCCTGGCGCTGTGGACCCGGACGCTGTGTCCTGGATCCCCCTCCCCGTTCCCATGGCACTTCCTTTGCCAGGTAGATCCCGCCCGAAGGAAGAAGGAAGAAGGCGCGACCCAGGGATTAAGGGGCAGAGGCCGACTCCGAACCTCGGGAGAGGGGAACCCAGCTTACACCAGAGACTGAGAGCGCGCCTACCCAGCTCGGCGAGGGCTGCAAGGTGAGGAGGCAGTGGTGGGCAGGGGTCCCGGTCCGGTCCGGAGAGAAGAAGGACAGCCAGCCAAAGACAGAGCTGCTACTCACGTCCCGGCTGCAGCCACGTGGCTTCAGGAAGCACGTACTGCAGTCCGAAGGGGCTCTGGGGTCTCCCAATCCGGGGTCACCGAGCCCCGCCCAGGCCCCCCAATCCTTCCCACGGGGCTGAGAACCAGTCGGACAGGATCTGAGGCTAGTTATTTGCGTGCTGACCCGGCTGGGGCTGAGGGGGGTCCAGAAGAGAGCCCTAGCCAGCTGTGCCCCCCCCCACCCCACCCCTGCAACTAGGGCCACAGCGCCGCTTGGACGCGGTGGAATCGGGGCGTCCGGGGGTACACCCCTTGCACTTTCTGCTTGTTTCACATTTGTGCTAAACAACAGTCTCTCTGTGCTCGCTTCCACCGGCTTTTTCCCAGCATGACCTCACTGTATGAAACGCAACAGCCCTGCTAAGAAGAAACTGAATTTGTTAGCTGCTCTGTGAGTAGATTCCGACTCTTGGAGAGCAGGGCTTTCCGGGCTGTGGCTTTTCAGAATCAGATCGCCAGGCCTTTCTTCCCAAACACCTCTGAGTGGACTTCAAGCGCTGACCTTTCAGCTGGCTCATCAACACCACCCTCCCTCCTGGTGATGCTGTGTAGAGATTGTAATTCTTTAGAGGAATAGAGACTCTCCTCTTTCTCCGGTGAAGTAGCCCACCTTGTGGCTAGCAGTACAGTGCTTATCTTACAGCTTCACCAGGGCTCCTGAGCTTTCCATCTAAGAAAGAGGCTTTGAAAAAGGGACAGACTTGCTCAAGGCCTTTGAGCCATTAAGAAGTGGCCTTCAAAATCCATTTAGAAGTCCTTCTCATGGGGAATGGAAAAAAGAAATTAAAAACAATGATGGTCAAGGGTGTAAGGAAATCCCTGACCTTTTATATCAAATCAAAACATCCCTCCTTGCCTTCATGGGCTACACGCCTACCCTATCACTGGTTCACAGAACAAAGCACTGTGGGATTCTGTGCCCCTTCGTGGTCACTCTCATGCCTGAGTCCATTGATGTGACGATTATATACCATCTCCTAACTCAGGGACTCCATCCTCCAGCACTGTATCCGACAGTGTTCTGGTGTGTTGCATAGACATTGGCTAATGATCACCAGGTCTTTCTTCCTTGTTACTGTTGTTATGTGCCGTCGAGTTGATTCTGACTCATAGCGACCCTGTATAGGGTTTCCAAGGAGCAGCTGGTAAGTTTGGAACCACCAATGTTGAAGTTCAAACTGACCTTGTGGTCCAGCACGCTATCCTGCAGCACCACAAAGTCAGTTCCGACTCACAGCTACCCAATGCACAATAGAGCAAAAGTCTACCCAGTCCTCATAATTGTTAAACACTTGAGCCCATTGCTGCTGCCACTGTGTCAATCCATCTCATTGAAGGTATTCCTCTTTTTTACTAACCCTCCACTTTACCAAGCATGATGGCCTTCTCCAGGGTCTGGTCCCTCCTGAGAACATGTCCAAAGTATGGAGACAAAGTCTCTCCATCTTGGCTTCTAAGGAGCATTCTGGCTGCACTTCTAAGATAGATTTGTTTATTCTTCTGGTACTTTTCATATTCTTCTCCAGCATTATAGTTCTTCCTAGCCTGGAAACTCCGCTGAAACCTGTCCACCATGGGTGGCCCTGCTGATATTTTAAATACCAATGGCACACCAGGAGAGGAGCCTGTCTGGGGGAGCCTTTTAGTAATGCCCTGACCCCCAGAAATAAGGAGCTCTGGCAGCATAGTGGTTAGAAGTCAGGCTGCTAACCTCAAGGTCAGCAGTTTGAAATGACCAGCCATTCGGCAGGAGGAAGATGAGGCTTTCTGCTCCTGTAAAGATTTATAGCCTCTGAAACCCTATGCAGGGTCGCTCTGAGTCAGAACCGACTCCACAGCACAACCATGTCTTAGACTCCGTTGCTCATCTGCCTGGGGTCAAATCCTGGTCTCCAGTGTTTGCTACAGAGGTTAATGACCAATTTCCTAACCTCTGTGTCTCAGTCTCGCATCTGTAAAACAGCCATTGTAATGATAGGGTTCCTGTCACCACTGGGTTATTATTGAGAATGAAATGAGTATTCATTCACTTAGAGTACCTAGGTCGGTTCCTGACACATTAAGTACTTGGGAGATAACATGTCAGCGTCTCGAGAATGCTTCACAACCGCCCGAAAGCCAATTGCTGTCCACTCAACCCCATCTCATGGGGATCCCGTGTGAGTCAGAGCCAAAGTGTATTCCACAGGGTTCTCAGTACCTGTGATCTCTTAAAAGCCACTTTCCAAGTGTTTCTTCCTCGGCACCTCTGGGTGGGCTTGAACCTCCAACTTTTCAGTTAGTAGCTGACTGTGTTCACTATGTGCACCATCTGTTGTTAGGTGCCGTCGGGTCAGTTCCAACTCATAGAAACCCAGTAGGACAAAACACACCGGGTCCTTCACCATCTGGGTAATCATTGCTCTTTGTGTCCCTTGGTGCTGCTACTGTGGGAAGCCATCTTGTCGAGGGTCTTCCTCCTTTTCACTGACCCTCTACTTTGCCAAGCATGATGTCCTTCTCCAGGAACTGGTCATTCCTGATTAACATGTCCACAGTATGAGAGATGAAGTCTTGCCATCATAGGGAGCTTTCTGGCTGTACTGTGTAAGGTAGATGTGTTTGTTCTTCATGGCCCTTCCAGAATTCTCGGACAACACAATTCAAATGCATCACTTCTTCCATGATGTAGTCCTTATTCATTGCCCACCTTCACACGCAAATATCGTGGCTTGGGTCACATGAACCTTCGTCTTTAAGGTGGCATCTGTGCTTTTGAACACCTTCAAGAGATCTTTTTGCAGCAGATTTTCCCAGTACAATGCATCATGGGATTTCGTGACTGCTGTATCCAGAGATGTTGATTGTGATCCAAGTAAATAGAAATCCTTAACATCAACCTGTCCTCTGTTTATCATGATGTTGTTTATTGGTCCAGTTTTATCACCTAGGGATTACCATACCTTACGACAACCTCTGTTGTAATTGTCTTTGTTGTTAGATACGGTGGAGTGGATTCTTACCCATAGTGATCCCACGTGATAGAGGAGAACCGACCTATAGGGTTTCCTAGGCTGTAATCTCTATGGGAGCAGATTGCCCAGTCTTCCTCCTCCAGAGTTGCTGAGTGGATTCAAACCATCCACCTTCCACTTAGCAGAGAGCTTAACATTTGCACTAGTGGGGTTTCTTACAACTAGCAATCCCGATTCTCCGTTTTCAGAGTTGTAAACTGGAGCATAGGTTGAAGAAGTCAGTTCATAGGTTGAGGAAATGACAAAACTCAAGACTAGATGTGTGATGTCTGAAACCAAAGCCTTAGCCTGTTGTCAGGTACTGGAAGGTGGGCAGACACCTGCTGGGGGGGGGGGACAGGGGAAGGACAGAGTGAGGGGCCTCAGCAGGGCTGGCCAGGGGAAAGAGCTGCCGTGTGGAGAGGAGCCCTTCAGTGGCACAATGACCAAGCGCTGAGCCGTGAACCAGAAGGTTGAAGCTTCCAGACCACCCAGAGGTACCTCAGAAGGAAGTCCTGTCGATTTACGTCCTAGAAGCCCTACGGAGTGGGACACTTGGCATCTGCTCTCAGGAAAATGAGCCCCACTGCCCTCGAGGTCACTCACAGAGTTGAACTGCCCCACAGGGATTCCTAGGCTGCCACCTCCTTCTCCCATGGAGTGACCGATGGGCTCCAACTGCCAGCTTTTTTGCTTAGCAATCAAGTAATGAACTTAGAGCACCACCAGTGTTCCCATAAAGATTGTTGCTGATGCTAAATGTCATCAAGTCAGTTCCAACTCATAGTGAGCATGTATAAGGTTTCTGAAGAGCAGCTGGTGGGTTTGAACTACTAACCTTGAAGCTAGCAGGTCAGTGCTTAGCCTAGAGAGCCACACAAGGATTTCATGAAGATTGTTGTTGTTAAGTGCCATTGAGTTGATTCCAACCCATAGCGACCCTATATAGGGTTTCCAAGGAGCAGCTGGTGAGCTTGAACCACCAACCTTGCAGTTCAAATGACTTTGCAGTCTGACGCATTAGCCCACAGCGCCACCCCAGGACTACTCCACGAAGATTACAGCTGCCGAAAACCTTAAGGGGTAGTTCTACTCTAACACATGGGGTGGTGCCTTAGTTTAGTTATTTAGCCAGGGTGCACCTGACCTAAGCCATGGTATTTCCAATCACCACATGTGCATGTGAAAGTTGAGCAATGAATGTGGAAGACCGTAGAAGAATTGATGCATTTGAGTTATGGTGTTGGAGAAGAATACTGAAAGTGCCGTGGGCTGCCAAAAGAACCAATAGATCTGTGTTGGAAGAAGTGCAGCCAGAGAGCTCCTTGGAAGTCAGGATGGCCAAACTTCATCTCTCATACTTAAGACATATTATGAAGAGGGACCAGCCCCTGGAGAAGGACAGGACGCTTGCTGCTGGCACAGTGGACCCAAACATAGCAATGATTGTGAGGACAGCGCAGGCCCATGGGGTGTTTCGTTCTGCTGTGCCGACGATGGTTCAGTCGGTACTGACTCCACTGGTACCAAACAACAACAACTACAACACATGATTACTGCCTCAGTAACAGGACAACCCATTCCCCAGTGGGACTATAACCCCAGGCAGAAAACACACACCTGGGAGCCAGTTCGGAGTCCTGGTAACTCTAGGACAGAGGAGAGCAGCTCTTAAGGTTTTCAAGTCTGTCAATCTGTGAGAGCAGACTGCCTCGTTTCCCTCCAGCACACTGCGGCTGGGTTCCGATTGCTGACCTTGGAGTTAGCAGCTCACTGCGCTTTTAGGGACTTGCAATACATATTTTTGAGGGGGATAGATGTCAATCCATAACAGTCCCCATGAGGAAGGAATTGGCTCGATGACAACAAATTTTAGTGTGTCTTTTGGTGGGGGGGACCTGGCGGCGATGTGTGAGTGCAGATTGTGAGCTGAGTTATAATGAATATATATTCATCCAAGTTGACCTCAGAGATGTTTGACAAACACTGCAGAGATCAGGGAAGAAGAGGGAGTCATCTCGAATGTCACAGCTTGTTCCTAAAGAAGCAATATCACACAAATCCCCCATTTTGTCCCCATCCTCATTAATCTCATTTGTAAAATCAAAAACTATTTGCCACTCAGTTGGTTGCAACTCAGACACCCTATGTTTGCAGAGTGGTCTCATAAGTTTTTCCTGGCCTTGACCTGTCGGAAGCAGATAGCCCCTGGCTGTGGTTCGAACTCCCAACCTTTGGGTTAGTATACCATTTTGTTGTAATCTGAGAGCAAGTTGCATTTCCATTCAACAATTCAGACACATTTTGTTGTGCGACATTAATTGCAGTCCCAACAAGATGAGCAGCACTCTCTCCGTTCCTTCCTGTTTCCGGTTCCCAGTCATCCTTCTTTTCCATCCTTCCTGCCTTCTGAGTTGTTTCCCCGGGCATATGCTGCCCTGTAGGTCTCACAGGGTTGATTTTTTTCAAGAATGTTTTATTATTCATCTTATGGACCTACCATTTCCTTTGGCTGAAAGTTGAGCTAATGAGGGGTGAGTTCAGTTCCAGGTGTGAAAGGTAACTAAGGGCCATAGTCTGGGGTGGGGGTGGGGGGGTATCACTTGTTGTTATTAGATGCCGCCCAGGCGACTCCCAACAGAAGCCCTGGCAGTGTAGTTGATGGTGAGCTGGGCTGCTAACCTTAAGGTCAGCAGTTTGAATCTACCACTTGTTCCTTGGGAGGAAGATGAGGTTTTCTGCTTCCCCAATAAGGAGCTCCAGTAGCGTAGTGGTTACGAATTGGGCTGGGAACTGCAAGGTCAGCAGTTTGAAACTACCATCTGTTCTGCAGGGGAATGATGAGGCTTTCTGCTTCCGTAAAGATTTACAGCCTCGGAAACCCTGTACAGGGTCACTATGAGTCGGAACCAACTCCACAGCACATAACCACCACCACCACTACAGACTTAGTTTGAGGACTAAGGTGCACCTGCCCCAAGCCATGGTATTTTTAATAACCTCATATGCACATGAAAACTGGACAGTGAATATGGAAGACCGTAGAAGAATTGATGCATTTGAGTTGTGGTGTTGGAGGAGAATATTGAAAGTGCCATGGACTGCCAAAAGAACCAACAGATCTGTGTTGGAAGAAGTGCAGCCAGAGTGCTCATTGGAGGCCAAGATGGCCAGACTTTGTCTCTCATGCTTCAGACATATTGTCAGGAGGGACCAGTCTTTGGAGAAGGATATCATGTTGGTAAAGCGGAGTGTTAGAGAAAAAGAGGAAGACCCCCAACAAGATGGATTGGCAAAGTGGCAGCATCAACATAGCAATGATTGTGAGGTTGGCCCAGAATTAGGCAGTGTTTCGTTATGTTGTGTATAGGGTCACTATGAGTCAGAACCCACTCCATGGTACACCACCACTGCCGGATAGTTCGAACCCACCGAGCTGCTCTTTGGGAGAAAGATCTGGCAACGTAGCCCAGTCAAGGTCACAGTCAAGAAAATCCTAGGGAGACAGCGCCACTCTGTCATACAGAGTCGCTGAGTTGGAGACAACTCCAAGGCAGGTTCAAGTCAATCTTTAGGTTGTAA